AGAGAGATGGACAGATAAGAGCACACACAGCGAGAGAGACAGGAAGGGGGAGAGAGAGGAGAAGACAGTGCAGGTGTTCAGCCACACTGTGACCACAGGAGACAGGAGGCTTTTCTCAGCTGCTGAGGAGCTCAGGGCTCAAGGCCACTCAGGCTCAGAGGTTCTGGCAGCAGTCAGGTCTGGGAGCTTCTCCTCATACTGACTCTGGAGCTCTAAGAGTCAGCCTCCATTCTGACAGGAATAGCCCCTCCTGTTCAGCCCTGAAAGACACACTGAGAGAGCTGTTAGAGCCCTGAGACAGCTGTGGGGGTAGAAGACCTGTCACCCTGTAGAGCTCTGAACACTGGGCTCCCCTGTGTGCCTCACTGTACAGCAATAGAGCTCTGACTGGACTCCCTGTGTGTCTCTGTACAGCACTAGAGATCTGAACACTGTGCTCCCCCATGTGTCTTCCTGTATACCTCATCACACTGCACTGCACAAACCACAAACTCACTGCACAGTCTGACCTGCAGTTCCAGTAAAGCTCTGTCGAAACAGGCCCATTTCCTAAAGACAGGGGAGTGAAGAGATAGTGCAGTTTTACTGAAGATAATATGTCCCTCTCTAAAAATATGCTGTCATATCATTATATGACATTTTTCCATGCTAGCCCAGCAGGAATTGTGGCCTTAAATCACAGCTGTTCAGCTGTATTAACAAGAACTGATTGTTTCTAGTTAATCATTTTGTTGTTTTTTAATACTTTGAAACAGACTCCTGCTCTTCTGCTCCTGTAGTTATTATGGTGAAGCTGCAACAAATATTACTGCTGCTATTACTACCACTAATACTGCTACTACAACTATGACAGCTACTACTACTACTGCCACTGATATAACAGCAACTAGTAATATTTTACTACTACTACTACTAAAGCTACTAGTACTACTGTTCCTACTGCTGCAGGTACTACTGTTACTGCTGCTACTGCTGACACTGCTACTACTTCTGCTACTATTAATAAGAAGGATGTGAGCCGTGTTCTCACTGTTCAGCCTTGGTCTATTAACAAGTACTGATGTTTTCTTTTTGTTGTTTGACTCCTGCTCTTCTGCTCCTGCTGCTGCAATTATTAAAGTGAAGCTCCAACACAGCTTTACTATATTGTTGAACTAAAGATTTGAAATACAGCATAACTACTACTACTATTGTTACTATTGCTCATGGTTCTAGTGTTACTACTGCTACTACAGCTACTCCTACTGCTACTACTAATGTTTCTAAAACTACTAGTAGTACTGTTACTGCTACTAATACTGCTGCCACTGACACAACTGCTACTACCACTACTACCATTACTACTACGACAACATTGGAGCCCAAGCCCACCTACGCACATTTACACACACTGACAGATATACACCCACACACTCACACACATTCACACACAAAGACACTACACATACTGACTAACACCATACACATTTATACACACAATCACACACACACATGCAAAAATACAAACTAGCACACATTCACAGACACACACATACTGTAGACACTAAACTCAGAGATACACACCCACACACTGATACGCACACATTTACAGAATCACACATAGACAGTACACATACTCACAGACACAAACTCACACAATGACGGACACCACATACACTCTTACCTAAAGTTACACTATAACAAACACTAACAAAAATACCACTAATATTACAACAGTAACATTATCACTATGACTAACACTATCATTATTACTAACAATAACACAAAATTACTACAACACTACTAATACTTATAATAACAGTAATGCTATCACTAAAACTAACATGACTACTAGTGTAAATACTCTAACAGTAAATCTATAATAAGCACTAATATTACATGAATACAAGCATTACAACTATCAGTAGCGCTATCATCATTAATACTCACATGAACACTAGCATTAATATTAAAACTACCAGTTGTACTCTCACTAATATTAACAGGAATACACTAGCATTAGTATTAGTAGCTGTCCGTGACGTCACACCGCTCTTTGTGACAAAGGCGAGACGCCTAGCCGGGCACAGTGACGTGGCGCGTGTCGCCGTGGTTACCATACTTATGATTTGTAAACAAATGGAAAATGCATTTCAACTGTTACTTAAACAAATTTATCAACTTGGAATATAATTCTCTAGCTCTAGGATTAAATTTTTAAATAATAATTTGAATAACCATTCTTTAATTTTGGATTGAACATTATTAACACTAAACGCACTATGGTAATTGATCGATACAGGCTGTATTGACTGTTTTCTAGATATTACAAACAGGGTCAAAACGGGAAAAGAATTAGTACTCACCAATCCGTGAAGTTAATCAATTATTCTACGGTTCTTCAGTTGAATCAATTAGTTGTCGATAGATAAGTGATCAATAACTCTCCTCCGTGCGCTCCGCTTGCCTCCCGCGGTCTCGCTCTCTGATCCTGGTGCTCTGGCTGGTGACCGTGACGTCACAGCGCTCGTTCTGATGGAGCAGACATGTCTCCGCTGGAGGAGACTCCTGTCCGGAGCCCAGGATATAACATCTTACAGATATAACATCTCCAATAATAAAGGCGATTCGTAACAGCTGGAAATGGAGAGTGACAAACCAAGGAATAAAATTCATTAAACCAAAAAAAATAGTTAACTTCACACACTAAAATAATAGTATAGCATACTCCTGTAGAGCAGAAGAGAAAGGGCACAAGTCCCTGTAATGAGCTCTTTTAAGCATTTTAAACAAATCTCCACAGAATAGAAGCCAGGAGGATCAGACACCTGATCCTGAAGGTTGAAGAGTATCTCCTGGTTTTATTTCCACCAGAGCTCTCAG